AAAAAAAATGTAATCAATTTTATTTAAGGAAATAGAATGAGATGACTTACCCTAATGTTATCTTTTTCTTCATTGTTTATATGTAAGGAAAGTTAGCAGCGTATTCGAGTACTTTCCATGACGATTCGCATGAGCGACTAAGCCACCAAAGAAAACTAGTAAGCCACCTACAACTCGACGAGCTCTATCTAACGATGTAATCAGATTCCCCGAAATTTCAACCTGAAAGCCAAAAAAACCAAAATAATCCATAAGACACATAGGGAAGAATTAGCATTTTTCGTAAAACACATCGCGATTCGCCTGAGTACATAAGCCACCCGCGAATCATATGTCAATCGATGCAGAATTCCACGCTCTATCGAATGGTATATAATTCCTGTTCATAAAATTCTTCTATAACTGGCACGGTTCACTTGAAATCTCGAAAACCACATTTTAGGAAGTATTACCTGTGACGATTCGTCCACAAGCTTAAGCCACCTTTGAAAAGCACACCAATCGATGCAGAATCGCGAGTTCTATCGAATGGTATACAGCTTGCACAGCTCAACATCAATAAAACGCGACTTTCACCAACAAAACATTCCCAACCCGTAAAAACTTGAGATTTTCCCCAGTAACTCTAATTACTATTCGTTCCAATACATAAGTCACTTACGAATCGCATACCATTCGATGCAGAACTCAATGCTCTATCGAATGGAATACTGCTTTTATGGCTCAACATTTATTAGTTAGCACTTAGACCCACAAAAAACCTTCAAAACCTGGGAAAAATGAGGATTTCACCACGTTAATTCATCTGACGATTCGTTCCAGTACATAAGCCACTGACGAATCACTTACCACTCGATGCAGAATTCGACGCTCTATCGAATAGTATGCAGCTTGTACGCCTTAGTATCAATTAGTTGGGACTTAGATCACTAAAAACCTTGAAAACCCGGGAAAAATGAGCGTTTAACCCCATTAATTCATTTGACGATTCGTTCCAGTACATAAGCCATTCCCGAATCGTATACAATCCAATGCAGAATTTCACGCTCTATCGAATGGTATACAATTCATGTTCATAAAATTCTTCTATAACTGCCACGGTTCACTGGAAACCTCGAAAACCACATTTTCCGAAGTATTATCTATGACGATTCGCCCCGAAGATTAAGCCACATTTGAAAACTACACCAATCGATCCAGAATCGCGAGTTCTATCGAACGGTGTATAGCTTGCACGGCTCAACATCAATGAGATGGCATTTTGGACCATAGAAACCTTGAAAACCTAGTAAAAATGCGGATTTCCCTCCATTAATGCTCATGACGATTCGTTCAGATACCTAAGCCGCCGATGAATCATATACCACTCGATAGAGCTTCGAATTCTGCATCGAATGGTATATGATTCGTCAGTGGCTTAAGTACCTGAACGGATCGTCATGGGTATTAATGGAGAGAAATCCGCATTCTTACTAGGTTTTCAAGGTTTTTATGGCTCGAAATCCCATTTGATTGATGTTGAGCCGTGCAACCTATACACCATTCGATAAAACTTCGAGTTCTGCATCGAATGGTATGTGATTCACCGGTGGCTTAGGTACCTGAACGAATCGTCATGAGCATTAATGGAGGGAAATAAAGCCATCGACAAATCACAAAACCCCCCCCCCCCCCATAATAGAAGACCCCCCTTGAATAAATGACGCAAAAGACATTTTATAAGACCCCCCCCCCCCCTGAAAAAATCGACGTTTTGAAATAGTTTCTGGAGTTTATTGACTTGTTTAGTATTTAAGCCCAGAATGATATCGAAATTCGGTACGAACAATATTTTGCTTCCTTCCTCATAACGAAGTATCAGACTCGAATGAGTAAAATCTAGAGAAGCAGTTAATAGGAAACAACTATCTATTGAAGATTGCGTTTCTTTGTAAAAACATATCATGGAGTCATTTTAGCACTTCTTTGCAGCTTACTTTGAAAACATTCTTCAGGCTCTATACACGAAAAACACGCTTTCATAATCATAGGATCTAATGAACGTAGTGCCCGTTCGTGCATGTAACACATGAAGGGATCTTTGTAGACTAATAACAGATTAAGTAAAATGCCACTTTGTATTAATTAAAAGGTCTCTTTATCTTTGACTTTCTTCTAGAAAATCAGAAACGTTTTCACAACAAAACAGTGTTTCATAATTGAAGAAAACATAACTTCATGTACAGTCTACGCAAAAAATTCTGGAACACTCAAGAATGACTCTGCAAAATTTTATCTTTCATTTGAAACAAACTTTATATATATTTTAAGTATAGTTACTGGTTAAAGTTTCATATAATATTAAAACTAGAAGTTTTGCATCTGCACAGTAAAGTACGAAAGTTTAACCAGTAACTATACTTAAAAAATATATATAAAGTTTATTTCAAATGAAAGATGAAATTTCGGGGAGCCATTCTTGAGTGTCCCAGAGTTTTTTGCGTAGACTGTATATACGTCAAGATTTGATATGTGAGTACTTCTTTTGAGTTTGAGAACGCATTTCTTCTTTCAATAAGATCCAATGGCATTTTTTGAAACTGACGCAAAAGAAAACACACTGTCTGTATTCAACTGCTGATTTTTTATAGATGGTTTCTTCACAAGACAATCGTATTCATTGAAGTTAGCTTGAGATTAATAACTCTGCTAGTAGCAGAATTCACTGTGAATAGATTCCATATATACTAATCAAATTTCCACATAAGCAACTGATTAAAATGAGTTTGATAAAAAAAATTAATTTTCTTTTTTACATTTATTTAGTTATTGAGAAGGCAAACTGTTGCCAATGATAGGTCTTAGCCTAGAGAAAAAAGAATGGTATGGGATATCGTACCAAGATGCTAGGCTACGTTGACTGTATTGTTCTAAGAACACTTCTTACCAACGATGGTCTCCTCTTTTTCACAGGATGATATCTGTTTCTTTCTTATTCTACACATGTGAAATAAGTGAAGCAAACTCATTTACTAACGATATATTGGACAAAAATCAAGTGAAACTAAGATTTGTTGACGGAACTACCAAAAAATATGACTTTTTTTAGGGACATAATAGAAGACCCCCCTTTTAACTTATGAATGATAAGACAGAATAGAAGACCCCGGGTCTTCTAATGTGTCGATGGCTTTACTTGAGATGGAATCTATTTAAATAAATATAACAAAAGAAAAAAGATAATATTAATTAAATGATTAAAATAATTTTAATTACTTACCAAATGTGGTAAATAATTGGCAAGTGGTGAACGAAACCGAGCATTTATATAATTTTGATTACCTTTTTCTTTCTTGTTTAATTATTTCAACAGTATTTTCCTGTACATTTTCAGCTGGTACAATTTCTAAACACTCATCTCTTACACCAATTTTTTCACCTCGACAGGTAAAAATTTCTTGTAAATGAAATGGATTTCCCCAATCACGTACAAATGATTGAATTAATATAAAACGTCGAAAGAAATTATCGAAATTCATCATTTCAATCGTACTCGAATCTTTAATATCATCTAGAGAATTGTTGATCTGATCTTCTTTTTCTTTAATCGAACAAAAAACAGGACAATACAATGCTTTAGTATTCTCAATAGTTTATGAACACACACACACACATACAAAAAAACTCTTATATGTTCTTTTTATTTTCCTAAATCAATCTCGTTAGTTTACTATGAAAACAAGAAACAATATTTTTATTGCATAGCACCAGTAATGTTAAGTAACATTTGAGGACCATGTGGTAAATAAACGCTATTTCTTGATTTTGATAATTGATTTGCAATACCTTCAGCGGCTTCAATTCGTCGAAGTTCGATCAAACCTAATATGAATATTAAAACAAAGTAAGACAGGATAATAAAAGATATTCGAAAATTTACCATCACCAGCTTCATCTAAAGCTCTGCCAATCAAATCAGCTACACGAGCATCACCTTCTGCTGCAATAACATTTGCTTGACGACTTTGTTCAGTTTGGTTTTTTTTATCAAAAAGAAACAAACTCATACAAATTTTATTCTTATTGATTTACTTTTTCGACTAAAAATCGTTGTTTTTCAATATCTTGTTGTGCAACTTGTTGTAATTCAGCCGCACTTGTAAATTCAGGTCTAAAACTTAAATGTGTCTAATTTAAAGAAAAAAAACAATATAATCAACTCGAGACTCTTTTTTGTTGTATCTTAAAATTGAAATATCGTCAAGTAATAAACCAAATTGAGCAGTACGTTCTGTTAATAATTCACTAACACGTTGAGAAATAAGTGCACGTTGTGTAGTCAATTGAATAGCATCAAATTGAGACTTAGTACAACAGATTTTAAAACTTCATTAATAATCGATGATAAAACACGTTCTTCATAATCTAAACCCAAATTTGCAAAAAATTTTTGGTAAAAGTTCAGCTCTTGGTCGATAAAGAATACGTAATGTTATATTAATTGCTTGTAAATCTAAAATAAAAATAATAAAATGTAATTTATGCATATTTCATTTATACGAAGAAAAAATAACGGAGACTTCCAGTTTTAAGTTTTATGAAGTATCCTAAGATTGGTGAATGATGAAAGTGTAGAGGTGTAAACCGATCAGTTGAGTCACCATCGATGGCCGCAAAATTTTTTAAGATACCGCAGGCTATATACATTCATTGATGTTTCAATAGACATCGTATTTACCTTCTTTTTTTCGCGACCTTACATTTTCCTCATGTTCACCTCTCTCCTGGAGTTGACTGTTTTCTTCTAGCTTTTATACCTTTTATTTCTGTTATTGATGGAACAGATCGTGGTCGTGTACGAATATCAAATATAATTGGTCTATGAAGCCATGAAATCATAAAATGAGTTCTTTCTTCAATAACATCTAGTTCAACACCTTGGAAACGATCAAAAATAACAGCTCGATGACTACCATCAACTAGAACATATTTATATTTAAAGAAAACAAGTTTTTTTTTTAATCTTTTCATATTTACCATTATAAAGCATAGAATTAATCACACCACCAGCAATAGCTAAACCAATACCAATTCTTCTTAAAACACTAAATTCTTCCGTCGAAATAAAATATTATTAAATAAACGAGATGAAGCCATTGTCTTTTTTTTCTTCTAAAAGAAAAACATGCATAATTATAATCAAATTAAATTTGTTTAGTTGTTTTGTTTTTATTAGCAAATAGTTCCAGAAACAAAACGAAACCATATGAAAATTCTTCATATTTCTATCGATAGAAAAAGAAAATGCATCACTATTTAATCTATCTATCTACTACAATAACAAACCAATGTAATAAAATACATAGAAAATGATTAAATAACAATAAACTTTGAAAGCAAAAAAAATACATGCATACTTTTACATAAATCGAAATCCACTTGAAAAAATATGAGCACCGTTCAGATATTGTTCACCATTGGGTTTTAATGAATTTGATGTATCACTGTTCTTTGCTACTGCAGCAGCAATTGCTTCGAATGCTGGAACAGTCTATAAAGAAATTATTTATATCATAGATAAACAAAATTTTTTCAATTACTATAATTTGATTTTGTTGGTAAAAATTGTTGTGGAAATGATACACCATCAACACGAAAATCTTCAAGATTTCTATATTTTTTTAAAATTTCTTCAAGTTTTGAATTGATTTTTGGTTTTTCTCGAGAATATTTTAAAGATGCCCAGAATTTTTCTAAACAATATAATTGACCTAAATAGAAAAATTATTTTTGTTATTGACACTTTTCTTTTTTTTCTTGTGTAATCTATTTTATTGCCAGCTCCATGATTACAAAGAGTTTCTTGTTGAAAATCTTCAAATACATGTTGACGAAAATGTTTTTCTAGATCATATGTATAAAATCGAAATAGACATTTAACACCATATCTATACATAAATAATAATATTCAATTTTTTTCTTATTATTTTTCATAAGAAAAATGACTAAAAACGATAGAGTGTATCCATTTCCATCGATTGACCAGGACCAAGTTTAACGCTTTCTAGAAATTAGATCATTACAGAAAACAAAATGTATCTTATTTGTAAATCAACATAACTGTCGATTATAAATGTTTTCTATGAAATAATAAAGTTTGGCGATTAGTGAAACTTAGTGTTTTTAATCATTGACAATTATTTTATTGCTTTTCAAATTTATCATGTAGATAAGAATGATAGTATTTATTAAAAAAACTCCATAGAAGAGTAAAATCTTTGTTTTTTTTGAAAATTATAGCAACAGACATATTCTCTATTAGCTATTTAAATCAGAATATAAGTATTTTTAGACTCTGATTTTTACTGGAGAGTAGTTTCCACTGTTGTTTTTAGATACGTTGACTGTTCTTTATTCATTAAGAGACTCGTTTTTTATATGTTCAATGTAACATAATTTCAATTTTTTTTTATCAGGAGCTTGTTTCTCTCGAAATATTGTAAATATGTACTGAGCTAATAATCTTTTTTTTTTCTCTACAATCAACGGTTTTTTACCATCAAGACATTATTGTTTATATTTAAGATAAACTGTTTGAGTAAAACCATTTTGTTTTAAAAGTGTATGAGATGAATGTTGAACCATAAAAATCATATGAATTTGAATTATTTCCATGTCAATAATGTGAATCACTGTATGATGATGAATATTGATCATAGAAACCTTGTTGTCGAGTTCTAAATAAGTAAAACTCATTCTATACTAATAATAATTGACATTCAATTGTTTGTATTAGGAACAAAAAATAAAAGAAAATTCGTCAAAAAAATATGAAGCAACACAAGTTATTTTTTACTATATCCATTTACCTTACCCGTATTGAACCATAAGAAAAATGATCTTATTAAGTGTAATAAGTAAAGTGAAAGCAAAACGTTTAGAAACGCAGTATTTTTGACTTGTTTTCTTAACAACAATAATTACTATCCATTTCAAACTATATTGTGCCCCGTTGTTTTTTAAAACAAATAGTTAATGTATAAATGATAATGATTCTATCATCTTCGGCCCACACCCTATATATATAAGATGAAATTTTTTTTCGTCGACGACGGCATGATATTGATGTACGCCAGACGAGAAAAAA